ATATAGCAAAAGGGAAGGAAGCAGCAGATGGAATTAAGGGTGCTAATCAGCTGATGATAAAATAGGGAGATTACTCTTGATTATCCAGATGGGCTCAAGGTAATCACACAGGAAAATGTAGAAGAGGGAGGCAGAAAAGAAGTCAGAGAAAGAGCTGTGACATCAGAAGCATGAAAAGAGAGACAATGCAGTTGGCTTTCAAAATGGAGGAAGGGGACCATAAACAAAGGAATGCAGGCGGCCTCCAGAAGCTAGAAAAAGTATGGAATTTCCTCTAGAGCCCCCAGGGGAAATGCAGCCCTGCTGACACATTGATTTTAATCCAGTAGACTCATCTCAGGCTTCTGATCTAAAGAACTGTAAGGTAATAAATTTGTGTTGTATTAAACTACTAAATTTGTATTTTTTTTATAGCAACAATAGGACAGTAACACACTCTCCTTTAAAAAAAAATCACATTCATTATTTGTTTTTTTCTAACTTTAAAAGAGACATGATTAAACTTGGAACACATAAAAGAAAAATAAAATATAAAAGTGATTCACAATTTAAGTTTTTGGTGTGTGCCCTGTCAATATTGTTTTCTGCATATACCGTATTTGCCGGGGTATAAGACGATTTTTTGGCCCTGAAAAATATGCCTCCAAGTGGGGGGTCGTCTTATACGCCAGGTACACTTCAGATAGAGGACTGCCATAGTGCTTGCCCCGTGCCATAGTGGCCTCCCGATGCCCGCCCACTTCATTCCACATACCGTTCAGGCATCAGCAGCGCTGCTGGTGTATGCTCGGCTGTTATGCGATTTTGCTGTTATGCGATTTTACCACACTGGCAAAATCGCACACAGCTGACCATACACCCAGTATGATAGCGCAAAATCGCGAATCGCGATTTATGTATATGTTTGATTACATACAGCCTTGTGACAGTTTTCCTGCATGTCATAAGCATTTGAATATAAATATAAATGTTGAAATCAAATCTGATATTGTTTTACCTTTTATTTGGTGTGTGGAAGGTGTGCGGAAGAGGGGGTAGTCTTATACGGCGAGTATATAACAAACTCTGTATTTTGAGTGGAAATGTTAGGGGGTCGTCTTATACACCCAGTCGTCTTATACGCCGGCAAATACGGTACATACATATGTATATTTTCATGCATACATTATAAAATTAGATCACACAACATAGTTTTGCAGCCTGCCTTTTCACTTGGCAATAGATATTGAACATGTTTCTATGACTGAAATGTTCTAAGTGTGCTATTCAATACAGTCCCATTGGCTCTTGAGAACTTGAAATGTGGCTCGTCTTAATTGAGATGTGCTTTATATGAAAAATACACACCAGATTTCAAAGACTTGGTATGAAAAAACGTAAAATATCTAACTAATAAATTTTATATTGATTACATGTCAAAATAATGGTATTTTGGCTATAATGGGTTACATACATTATTACAATTAACTTCATTTGCTTTTTTTGATTATTTTAATGTGGCTACTAGAAAATTTTAAATTACCTGTATAGGTAGTTTTCTATTCATATTGGACAGCACTGTTTTAACATTTAAGATTTTAAATGCAGATGCTTGTTCATAGGACAACTGATTTAAGGGCTTATTTGAAACTTTTACCCTGTCTCTTTTACTTAGGGTGAGGTGTGGGTCCACCTTTGAGAAAGGAGCTAGGTTGCCTCAGAGCTGTCCCTGTTGTTTGGCATAAGCCGCAGTGAACTCCATTTAGATACAGGACAGTGCAGCAGCTGATGAGCTTAGGACACTCACTGGTTCCCTCCTTAAACTACACTGCATCCTGGGGTGCCTTCCAAGCTCTGGATCTCTCCAGCAGAAGCTGCCTTTCTGGGTGCGTGCAGAACCAATTCATCTGGAACTGTGTTGAACATTGCTAATCTCTCAGAACAGGAAGTCATTTTCACATGATCACTCACAGCATTTGCTTGGTCATTGACAATGTCACTGAGAAGAAACCACAGCATCATTTTACCAGTCCCTAAGTTTCCTTGGATTCTTATCTATAAATACATCTTGAATATGGTCAGGTTAAAAAAGTGTACCCCAGGCCCAAAATTTGTGATGATCTATATCCATCTCTGACTTACTAATCTTTTATTATTTGTTAAATTTGGAAGTAGAATTAAGTTATATGAAAGAGTCACTAGATCTACCCCCAAGGTTTGTGAAATACTGTAATTGCTGCTATTTTACCTCACAGAGAGGTTGTTTTTTGTTGTTGCTGCTTTTTAACTTCTCAGTCCCTCACATTTTCTTAATCCACAAAATTATTCATAGCCCTTTCCATTGATACTGTATCAATGATACATCATATGGTTGAAAGGATTGAAATAATTTTCTACTGTTTAGAAAAAAGTGTCTACTTTATTTTAGGGTTCATTCATTCCTTTTAGCTCCTGGTGTTGTAATTTACCTTTCTAGGTATTGTACGAACTTTCCACCCTGTGAGAGGCTGAGCACAAGTGACAGCGCCAGGTCCTCTCAGAAGCACTTGAGAGCAGAGTAGGAGGAGGCATGACAGAAGTTCTCTTAAGTCTATATCCCAAAAGTGGCATCTTTTCAACAAATTTTAAGGTAAAACACTGACCTGGTGATTTTCAAGGTCAGGGTAAAAAGACAGAAGTAAGACTGTTGCTTTGCTTCCCTACCACGCTGGGATCCTTGCCTTCCTCAAATGGATACTTCTTTGGTTGAGGATCACCTTGAAGGGGACTGATTTTTAGCTATTGTGAATACTTATCTAAATCTAATTCTCAGTGTCTTCCACCCAGCCATCCTAGTTTATTCCTTGGGGTCATGCAGAACAATCCCAGTCTTTTCATTGAGCCATCTTTTACTCTAGTGTAGACGATGGGCTTGAGTAAGATTTCCCGAGTCTTACTCAAACTTCTAATATAAAATGGATACCTCTTCACACAACTTTCTTTACCCCTACTCTACTCTATTTTTCCCATTGCACTTATCACCGCCTGATATATTTTTATTCATTGTCTGTACTTTCCTCTATGGGGGAAGGTTCTTTCTATCATTTGAATAGTACCTGGCACATTATAGGCACACAATACTCTCTGTTTTCATATTCTTACAGTTCACAGCAAGACTTCCTACTCCACCCCATTATACTCCCTGAAAGAAAGAAAGCCTTTTCCCCAGTAGTTTAAAAGAAGTTGTAGGATTGAATTTCATTGGTCTGGTCAGGGCCCTGCGCCTATCCTCAACAAATCACTGTGGCCAAGAAAATGGGCTACATTGTTTGGTCCCTCCTGGGTCATATGCCCAACTAGAATTGGGTTTGACTCTTCTAGAACCACATGGCTGGAAGTAGGAAAAGGTTGGTTCTTGGAAAGACAATCAACCACTGCTACTAGAAGAAGAAAGGAAGGAATGCAGGGCAGACAAAGAGGACAGGGGGAGGAATGAATATTTATAATGCCTATCTGTTAAGTTCTTTACATGTGTTATCTCATTTAATTTGCACCACATCCCAATGAAATAAAATGTGGGTACCATTTCAGAGAGGTGGAAGCAGGTTTAGAAAGATTTAGAAATTTTCCAGCTAGAAGGTGGTGAGCTGGGACTCAAAACCAGGTCTGTTAGGCTCTAGAACAGAACTCTCATATTCCATTCTCTTTATTCAGGTTCTATTCATTCAGGTTCCTTTCATTCAGGTTCTATTCATGTATCACCTTCAGTCATTCCCTACAAATTTTGTGATTGGCCCTGTGCTTCCCTACCCGCCCAGTGATCCTAAACAACCACTCAGTACTCCATCTAGGCTAGGCTCTGTTCCCTCGGTGTGTCTTCTTTGCTACATCCTTCTGACCAATTTTATCTCTTAGATTCTCCACTTCTCCAAGCCTCTCAGTTAGACTGAGACTCAGCTCTGCTTCTATGTCTTCCATGACCTTCCTGAAGCTTTCCCTGATGATTTAACACATAGCAATCCCTATGAACTCTAAAATTTACTGCTTGTTCTCTGGGCCAATACTGGGAGGGGGGATAGAAAACTAAAAGGAACAAATTACCACCTGGGCAAATCCCATGTAAAAATTTTAGCTGTGTAAACCCTTGATAGGAAGCATTAGGAATGTTGCTGAGGTACAAATCTACTTTTGTCTCAATGAGCACTTTTTTTGCGAGGCTGAAAGGTTTCACTTCCTAGAGTTGAGGACAAAGATTCCCTGACAAGAATGCACCTTCTTGCAGATCTATTCTACTACATTAGCAGAGCCGGTATACAGCAAATGCCTATTAAATGTATGTTGAATCAATACTCTGTATCTTTTGTGTCCTAGTGTATATCTTCCAGTGCTTGTGGAGTTGATTTAAATAACGCCTTACAAATCTAGGTTATTCCAATAACAACTAAGCCCTACACCCCTAAAGCAAAAGAGCACAAGAGCCTTGCCCTTACACACCGCTTTCAATTAACTCCCAGTTGCCTTCTTTTGAAACACTTGTCTTTTACTAAACACCCCACACAAATACTTCCATCACAATTTGCTCAGCTCTGCCAGGCCGGTAACTGCTTCTGCGGTAGCTGGGTCATGTCTCTCTGGTAGCGCCCACTGCTTGGGACTGGTATTAACATATTTATGTCTGTCTCATCTGTTGGGCTCTGAGCTCCTGTAACTCGGCTGTCTTATTCGCCCTTTACCCAAACCAAGTGGTTATTCACATAATGTCTTTAGAATGAAAATGTCGGTTTGTGCACATGGTTCTGGCAATCCATGGGTCCAGGATGATTTTTACTGCATTTGTACAGTACATTAAAAAAATTACATATTAAATATCTTTGAATTATCTAATAAATTAATATAAACTCTGTACATAAATAAGATTAATATTTCCAGTTTATTAAGGAAGCCGACTCAGAAGATCAAGCCCTAAATCGAAGGTCACACCAATTACATAACCACACAGGTGAACTTCTGCGGTAAACGGCGGGAGGCGCGCCAGAGGACTTTTGAACTCTTTCGGCCACCGTCACCAGATCGTCTCCTCTATCTGTGCGCCTGCGCGCTGCTGGAGCGTCGTCCATTTCTCCATCCGGAAGGACGTTGGTGTTAAGGTGAGTCGTGTCTCTTTTGAGTTCCTCGTTCAGGTTCCCATAACTACCGCTTCCAGCTGCCCGCTCTCGGCCTGTCTTGGATTTGAGCCGTGGTTCAGCATCTCTGCGGTCGGAGAGTCTCGGACCCCTAGCCCGCGTCGACCCCTGAGCGACCCCGCCGCGGCCTTAGGAGGGTGGCTGGGGTCCCCCGGGGGCGGGGTGTGCTGCGGGACCTCGAGGAACCAACCAGGCTTCGGAGGCAGCCGGTTCTGTCTCAGTACCCGCTGTGTTTTTCTCCTAGTCACTGTGACCTTGGCTAGGTCATTTGACCTGTCTTGGCCCTCGTGTTTCCACCTGTAAGAAAGTGGGCTTACTCAGTCGTCATGAGGCGTAAGGGTCAGCGTAGGGGAGGCAGCCGGCAACGTTGGCGCTCGGTCGGTGTTCTCTGTGGTGGCGTTTGTGAAGGGCCTCGGTGCCTGTGGCCGGAGAGATGGGCCGGGCTTCCTGCAGCCTGTCTCCTGCGCCCACGGCCTTTTCGGTAACCCCCGCCCGCGTTGGCTGGAGGTCTGCGGAGAAGGCCCACGCGCTGCGGCCTTGGGGCCCTCGGCTCAGGCCTGGCCGCGTAGTGGTCACCAGGTGGGCCCTCGAGGGAACTGCTGGGTTCCCATCCAAGTTTTAGTCGCTTCGTGTGTCCCAGTTTTCTCATCAATAAAGGGGAAATGTCACAGGGTCGTCTCGAAGATTAAATGAGTTGCTAGTAAGTTTGTAGAAGAGTAAATGCTGTAAGTGTGTTTGCACTTGTCTAGATTCCAGAGCCATTACTTACCTTCCCAGTAGTTGGGAGAGGTTTTTGTTTGTAGTTTTCACTTCACATATACTATTATACCGCAGTTATCTTACTTATTTAGGGTTGTTCAGCACGTGAGAGGGGAAAAAAGATGAAACAGGTGTGGGAGTTCACAACAAGTCACCCCCAAGATGTGCTGCTGTGGTTTGGATTGTTTTGAGCTAAGGGCAAGTTTAGCTTCAGGCTCGAGAAACTTTTGCCTCTCCCTCTAACTACCTAGAAGAACTTGAATTAGGTGCCTTGCTCATGAGAGATTATAAGTGATAATCTTTTTGACCCATCTGTATGGCAGGGCAAACTTTTATCTGCTCTTAATCATCCTGCCATGACCCTTTGAAGCGCCCAAGGTGCATTACTTCATTCTTAGCTCAGAATATCTTATATACCTAGAACCCCTTTCTATCTCTGAACCTCCTGTGCATGTGGGATCTTTGACTCTCATGTATGCGGGGTTCCCCTACATATGTATGTATTAAATTTGGTTAGTTTTTCTTGCTAATCTGTTTCATGTTTATTCGATTATTAGAACAGCTGGAGGAACCGTGAGGGTTAAGTTTGTTCCTCCCGCACAAGGCTAAGGCTTTAAACATCTTAGAGTTTGTAGGAGGAGTCAATCCACTATCCATCCTTCGTGAGTCGCCCTAGGTACTAAAGTGCGTTAGGCATAAGAACTCTTTAGAGATTTTATTATTAAAGTTCTAATAATCTTGTTTATTATTTTGTCTACCAGGGAGAATATAGCTACCATGTCTTCCAGTGCTTTGGCAAAACCTCAGATGCGTGGCCTTCTGGCCAAGCGTCTGCGAGTTCATATTGTTGGAGCAGTCATTGTTTCCCTGGGGGTTGCAGCTTTCTATAAGGTATGTTTGATTTTTACTTTGTCCTTATGGTCCAAAAATGTGTGTTTTAAATTTAAAATTGTATTCTATTTTCATTAGTAATTTAGAGTCCTAAAGAAACTCTTCGATTTTTATTGGGGAATTGGGGATGGGGAACAGCCAAGTTGCTGTCGTTTTGTTCTTCAGTCTAGTTGTGGAGGACGTTGCTTCACTGGCCCGTGTTGGTATTGTGATCATTGTGCTCTTCCTGGCTGAGGCAGTCGGTCCCTGGCCATTGGACGGCGGCTCACAGCAGCTCTCGCCAGCTGCCGGCCACTCATGGTAGCTTATGGGAGCCCACTGCAGCCCCACTGCAACCTATGCCATCGTTGGCCACTCACGGTAGCGCAGCTCCAGGTCAAGCTGTTGATCACACAATCTTGGCTGTAGAGAGCGCAGCTTACTGGCGCATGTGGGAATCGAACCGGCAGCCCTGTTGTTCATAGCTTGCGCTCTTACCATCTGAGCCAATCGGCTGGCCCTGAGAAACTCTTTAATGTGCTTCCTTCCTCTGACCCTTTCTCCACTCACTTCATGTGACAGCAGAGTCCCTTGTTCCCCAGATGGTTTGTCCACCATCTTTAAATGAAGTTATATTAGTTTGTTAGGGCTGTCATAACAAAGTAACACAAACTGGGTGGCTTAAAGAACAGAACTTGATCTTATTTTCTGTTCTGGAGGCTAGAAATCCAAGATCAAGGTGGCTGTAGGATGATTTCTTCTGAGGCCTCTCTCCTTGGCTTGTAGATGGCTGTCTTTGTCCTCACGTGGTCCTCTGACTGAATTTTCTCTTCTTATAAGGATACTGGTCATATTGGATTTGCCTCTACCCCCCAAAGACCTCAATTTAATTACCTCTTTAAAGACCATATCTTCAAACACATCAATTTTGGGAGACACGATTCAGCTCATAACACACAGGCTGTAATTGTTTTATTTAAGCGGAGTGATATGGGGAAGGCAGTAGTTCTGTTTGGCACTGTTAAAAGCAACTGATTAAATTTGAACATCTAATTGGCTTTATTAAGCAGTTCATGAATTCACAGCTTCCCATTTAGCTTTAGCCACTAGAAAGGAGCTCCCAGCTTTGTCCAAAATAGAAGGCTTTTATAGAAAAGAAGGGTGGGGCAAGGAAGCTATTAAAAAAAGAAAGGATTGGGGCCGACTGAGTGGCTTAGTTAGCAAGCTCTGAACAACAGGGCTGCTGGTTCAATTCCCACATGCACCAGTAAGCTGCGCCCTCTACAGCTAAGATTGTGAACAGCAGCTCCACCTGGAGCTGGGCTGCCGTGAGTCGCCGCAACAGCGTAGGCTGCAGTGTGGCTGCAGTGGACTGCCGTGAGCTACTGTGAGCGGCCGGCAGCTGGCGTGAGCGGCCGTCCGATGGCCGGCAAGCGACTGCCTCACCTGGGAAGAGCGCATTGATCACAATACCAACATGGGCCAGTGAAGCCACGTCCTCCACAACTAGACTAAAGAACAAAAGGACAGCAACTTGGCTATTCTCCTTCCCCAATTCCCCAACACTGTCCCAATTCCCCAATAAAAACTTAAAAAAAAAAAAAAAGAGAAAGCATTATTTTTAGACCAGGACTTGGTAAGAGTTTTTATCATTCAGATTGCCTCCCTTTCTGGAAAGGGATGGAGAGGGACCATGTGACAGATTACCTTACTGGTGCTTGGCCAGAAAACTTGAGTTGATTAAGATGATTTCTGGAAGAGGTTGCAACAGTACTTAGACAGGTATTAAATCTAGGTTTGGTATCCTGGGCTTTAGTACAAGTGATGCCATTTTGGGTCTCTGGCTTTTTTAACAGCACCTTGAAGAATTGTTGCTATAGAATACATTTTAACCTTTTGCCTTCTGTAGATTTTAACATTATGCCTTAAAATATTTTTTTTATTTTTTTGTGACAAAATACACATAACAAAATTTGTTACTAGTCTGCAAACCTCCCATCCCTTACCCCAGTGCACAGACACCAAACAAAAGGAATAATATCTCCCTAGGCAAGGAGGGTCCCTCTTGCCGAGTAGTTTTCCTGAGGCTTCTTTCTCTTTCCTTGCATCTGTGTCAATACCTCTACCCTTTGTCTTAGGAAATAGAAAATTCAAGTTAAAGATGAACACATATTGTGATTTATGTTGTCTTTACATATTAAGTTTCTAATAATCTAGAAAATAAGCCCTAATGGGATATGCTACTTTTTAGTTTGCTGTGGCTGAACCAAGGAAGAAGGCATATGCAGATTTCTACAGAACTTACGATTCCATGAAAGATTTTGAGGCGATGAGGAAGGCTGGTATTTTTCAGAGTGCAAAGTGATTTCAGAGTGTAAAGGTAATATGATTATTTGAAGTTACTGTTTAAAAAAGTTTTTGTGGTAAAACACAAAATTTACCAACTTACATTTTTAAATGTATAGTTCAGTATTAAGTATAATCACATTGTTGTACAACCAATCTCCAGAACTCTTCATCTTGCAGAACTGAAACTGCACCCATTAAACAACTCCCTATTTCTGTCAACCTCCATTCTGTATCATACAGTATTTGTTTTTTTGTGACTGGCTTATTTCACTTAATGTAATGTCCTCAAGATTCATCTTTTTATAGCATGTGTCAGAATCCTTTTTAAGGCTAAATGTTGCATTTTATGTGTATACCACATTTTGTTTATTGATTGCTTCCATCTTTTGACTATTGTGAATAATGCTGCTATGATGTGTCTAAATATCTCTTTGAGACTGCGCTTTCATTATTTTTGAGTAACTATTCAAGTGGAGTTGCTAGGTCATTTGCTCATTCTATTTTTAATTTTTAAAGTATCCACTGTACTATTTTTACATAGTGGCTGCACCATGTTGTACTCTACCAGCAGTACAAAAGAGTTCCAGTTTCTCCACATCCTCCCCAACACTTGTTTTCTGGGTTTTTTTTGTTGTTGTTTTTTTAAAGATTTTATTGGGGGGTTGGGGGAGAGGAACAGTGTTGGGGAATCGGGGAAGGGGAACAGACAAATCACTGTCCTTTTGTTCTTCAGTGTGGAGGACGTCTCTTCACTGGCCCATGTTGGTGTTAACGTTGCGCTCTTCCCAGGTGAGGCAGATCAGTTGCCAGCCTCTGGACGATCGCTCACGGCGGCTCTTGGTAGCTCACACCGGTTGTTAGCCACTCACGCTGGCTGCCGGCCACACATGGTAGCTCATGGCAACCCACTGCCACAGGGGCTGCAGCCTACGCCATCCCTGACGACCCACAGCAGCCCAGCTTCTGGTTGAGCTGTTGTTCAGCATCTTAGCTGTAGAGGGCAGTGTCACTGGCCCTCATGTGGGATCCGAATTGGGGCCCTGCTGCTCAGAGCTGGTGTCCCAAGCCCCAGCTCTTAACCAGCGTGCCACTCGGCCGGCCCTCTGGCTTTTTTTTTTTTGATAGTCTCCATCCTAATGGGTGTAAGAAGGTATTTCATTGTGGCTTTCATTTCCAATCCCATAATGGTTAATGATGTTGAGCATCATCTCTCGTGCTTATTGATTATTTGTATATGTTCTTGGGAGAAATGTCTATTCTAGTACTTGGCCTGTTTTTTTTTTTGTTTTTTTTTGTTTTGCTTTTTTTTTAGCTGAGCCATCCTGCCACCTGTTGGCAGCTCAGCTTGGGCCTTAACTCGAACCGCTGTTGCTCAGAGTTCGCAGTCTTGAGCGAGCTCTTAACCAACTAAGCCGCTCGGCCGGCCCACTTTGCTCATTTTTAATGTGATTGATTTTTGTTGAGTTGTAGAAGTTCTTTAAATCATATATGATTTGCGAATATTTTCTCCCATTCTGTAGATTGCCTTTTCACTCTGTTGATTGTATCCTTTGATGAATAGAGAATTAAATTTTGATGGAGTCTAATTTATGTAATTTTTCTTTTGTCACCTGTGCAGGAAATCATTGCTGAATCCAGTATCATAAAGCTTCTCTTACGTTTTCTTCTAAGAGTTTTATAGTTTAAGTTCTTATCTTTAGGTCTTTGATCCATTGAGTTAATGTTTGGTATGATGTCAGGGAAGAGTGCAGCTTCATTCTTTGGCATGTGTATATCCAGTTTTCTCAACAGCATTCATTGAAAATTTCAGTCCTTTTCCTCCTGGGTGGTCTTGGCATCTTTGTGGGTAATTTTTGACTATATTTGTGAGGGTATATTTTGGGGCTCTTTTGTGTTGCATTGGTTTATATTTCTTTATGCCAGTACTACACTATTAAGCTTTATAGTAAGTTTTGAAATCAGGATGTGGTAGTCTCTAACTTTGTCATTTTTTATGATTGCTTTGGCTGTTTAGGGTCCCTTGATAGTCCTTATGAATTTTAGGATGGATTTTTCTATTTATGCAAAATTCTGTTGGGATTTTGATAGGGACTGCATTATATATGTGGGTCACATTGGGTAGTATGGACATCTTAACAATTATAAGTATTCCAGTTTATCATCACAAGATATCTTTCTATTTATTTGTGTCTTTAATTTCTTTCAGCAATGTTTTGTAGTTTTGTAGTAAACAAGTCTTTCGCCTCCGTGGTTAAGCTTATTCCTATGTATTCTTTTTGATGGCTATTGTAATTGGAATTATTTTAATTTTCTTTTCTGATTATTCATTGTTAGCATATAGAAATGTATCTGAGTTTTGTCTGTTGATTTTGAATCCTGAAACTTTCCTGAGTTAGTTTATTCTCTTTTTTTGTGTGGAATTTTTTGGGTTTTCTATATATAAGATTAGGTCATCTGAAAACATGTAGTTTTACTTCTTCCTTTCTAATTTGGATGTCTTTTATTTCGTTTTCTTCCCTTATTGCTCTGGATGGCATTTCCAGTACTATGTTGAATAAAAGTCGTAAGAGTGGGCATCCTTGTGTTGAATCCTTGTATTCCAGCAGTAAAGCCCACTTGGTCATGATGAATTCTGTTTGCTAGTATTTGGTAAGGATTTTTCCATCTATATTCATCAGGTATATTGTTCTCTCTGTCTGACTTTGATAGCAGGATGATGCTGGCCTTATAGAATGTTTTGTATTCTTTAATGAGATGATCAGTCAAATGTGGCCACAAAAAGAGACAGTTTCTGGAAAACATGGTAGGGACATTCTCTACCTGCACAGAAATGTTTTTTAAGATGTCAAAATATCTTAATATATAGAAAATAAAAACATGCAATACCTAGAGTAGATTTGGAAGTGTTCCCTACTCTTCAGTTTTTTGGAAGAGCTTGAGGAGGATTGGTGTTACTTCTTCAAATATTTGGTAAAATTCACCTGTGAAGCAGTCTGATCCTGAGCTTTTCTTTGTTGGGAGGTTTTTAATTACTGATTCAATTTCCTTACCAGTTAATGGTCTGTTTATATTATCAGCCTGGTGCATTTCTTGGTAGGTTGTGTGTTTCTAGGAATTCATTTCATGTAGGTTGTCTAACTTGTTGACAGTACAATTGTTTATAGTACCGTATTTGCCGGCGTATAAGACGACTGGGCGTATAAGACGACCCCCTAACATTTCCACTCAAAATACAGAGTTTGTTATATACTCGCCGTATAAGACTACTCCCTCTTTCGCACACCTTCCACACACCAAATAAAAGGTAAAACAATATCAGATTTGATTTGGCCCACTGAAGTGCAAACAAGCGTATTGTATTTCGTGTCACCACATAACCGTTTTGGCGATGTTGAGCCACCATGTCTGCTACATGTTTTTCGAGTTCTGGCCAGTGTGGGGTGCCTCTTCTTAATGCACACTTACCCCTTGGCATACTCTTTAATGCTTTCTCATTTGATTTCCAGTCCCGAACCATCTTTTCTGTTACTCCATATTGTCTTGCAGCAGCACAATTATTATTTTCCTTAGCAAAGTTTATAACTTTCAGTTTAAAATTTGCATCATACTTCTTTCTTTTGGCTGGTGCCATGATAGGGATGATAGGGGTTTGACTGGTCGACATTTTCTATGCTGTACTGTACAATGGTGCAGTATTGTGGTTGGCTGTTGGCTGTATACAAAGCCTGATTTGATTGGTCCCTGCTCCCTGTTTGCCCGCCCTGTCACTATAGCAGTCTGGTCCACCCTTGCATCAGCATCTCCCTGGGACCTCACTAGTGCGCAAGTGCGAGCTCTTCAACATTCTAACAGGCACCATGATAGCGCAAAATCGCGAATCTTCAATGCATATGTAAAGAAATATACGGTAACCCGAATTTACCACACTCGCAAAATCGCACACAGCCGACCATACACCCAGTATGGTATCGCGATTCGCGATTTTGCGCTATCATACTGGGTGTATGGTCGGCTGTGTGCGATTTTGCGAGTGTGGTAAAATCGCATAACAGCAAAATCGCATAACAGCCGAGCATACACCCAGCAGCGCTGCTGATGCCTGAACGGTATGTGGAATGAAGTGGGCGGGCATCTGGAGGCCACTATGGCACGGGGCAAGCACTATGGGCAGTCTATCTGAAGTGTACCTGGTGTATAAGACGACCCCCCACTTGGAGGCATATTTTTCAGGGCCAAAAAATCGTCTTATACGCCGGCAAATACGGTATTTTATAATCCTTTTTACTTCTGTCAAATAAGTTGTAGTGTCGTTTTTCATTTCTATTTTTTAGAGTCTTCCACTGTGACAGGAAAGACACTTTGTAGGATTTCAATCTTTTAAAATCTATTAAGTCTTTTTTTATGGCCTAATTTCGTCTTTCCTGGAGAATGTTCCATATGCAGTTGAGTATTGTATTTTCTGTTTTTGTTGGGTGGAATGATCTGTATCTTTAGGTCTAAGTAGTAGGTTCAAGTCCTCTATTTTCTTTTTCTCTCTCATGTTTTAAGGTGTATTTTTGTTTACAAAGCAAGGTGATGCATATATCTGATTACTAATTTTCATGAAAAAGTATATAAATATATTATAGGAAATTCTATATAGTAAGCAGTAGAAATTGATACAGTAAACATTTGCTACTTTTTCCTATGGTAATAATACTGTCATTTAAAGCTTAAATACTGGTTTTAAGTATCCCCTATAAAATAACTACTAAAATAATTTTTCTATAAATAAGATTGGTACATTAAGAATAGATTTAGCACGTTCTTGTAATAATGACCACTATAATCAAATGCAGCCTTAATTGTCCCTAAGATCTGTGTTCTTTAGTTACTGTTAAAATCTTAAAAATAATTACTACAGATTAAAATAGCTGTAAAAATACACCATTTACATGTTATTTGTGTTGTAAAGAATGCCCCTCTAAGGTAGAGGAGATTAAGCATAATTGTATTGTATGGACTTGCTGCCCTTGATCCTTATTGTAAATG